AGTTAAATCAGTTTATTAAATCAGATTATTATATGTAATAGGACTCCATGCTGTCCAATTAAGAAATAATTGGACGAGGAAAATTCCGAGGACTGCCAAAAATTGGACGAGGCCGTGGCCGAGTCCAATTTGGCAGTCAGAGGAATTTTTCGAGTCTAATTATTTCTTAATTGGACAGAATGGAGTCTTATTACCTATTAATTATATAGCCACATATTGATCCCAAATAGGTAAAAGCCAACCACAGCTTTTAACAAAAACCCAATTGAAAACCTGATTCCAAAATTAACGAAAAATCCAGCTTTTACCTATTTGGGATTAATATGTGGCTATATAATTATTGATCAAATTGCCTTTCCTCTTGGTGACTGTTTTAGTATTYTTCTTTCTTTTCAATGTTTTTGAATCACGGTTGCACTTGATGCATTTATGTTTTTCTTGGCTCGTTCTTGGTACAGAGGATTGATAAATCACATTTTTTAATAAGAATTCTTTTTGTCGGGGTAGAGAGGGCTGGTAGATTATTTCTTGGTCATTATGACCACCATGCATTTTCCAGTCGTCATGTGCGTTTGTATTTTTATAAACAACAATTTTTACACGAGGTTGTAGTTTGGCTTCTTGGAGGTATTTTCGTCATTCAACAGAATTTAGTCCATGTACATCAGAAAGGTGATTTGATAATTTCACGAGATACTTTGCACCACAACCAGGAACCATGCAATCGCGACAAACTCTTTTAACCATGTTGACTGCTTGACACTCTGTCTTCAAATGATTAAATTTCACCACTGCGTGTTCATATATAGCTATTTCAAAAAATGTTGTCGGATAAAATGGCGATTGTCAATGGTCGAACGGCGATTGCACGACCGAAAGTAGTCATGGGTTTCGGTTGGTGAAATGAAATAACAACTGATTTATGCTGTAAGATAGTCTGTGGTAAAYATTGGCTCCATTTAGTCTCCATTTCTATACAAGGTGAATCCAATAATTGAAATTTTGTTAATCAAAACAGTGTAACCATAGTCCCTTTCGGCCGTACAATCTCCCTTCGACAATCGCCGTTCGCCGTTCTCCTCGACAACGTTTTTTAAAATAGCTGTATATTCAGGATGAGCAAGACAAAAACAGGTCAGTAGGGAATGTAGGGTCAGCGGGAAATTTCACGAGGAGCCTCTCTCTTTGAGACACAGCTCCTGCTTTTCCTGCTTGTACCGATGAGAGAACGCATAATTCTTATTGAATGTCAAAAAGATTTTTTTCCACAAAAATAGTTAGAAATATTTTTTATTTTTTTTTATTTTTAATTTTAAAATTTCTAAAGCTTTTAAACTTTGTTCAATTGAAAAAAAAATCATTTTTTATCACAGTACTGAAAGTTATTAAACAAAACAAAAAAAACTTGATTCTAAAATTAATTCAACAAAACTTTTTCTTTTTTTTTTTTACAAAAGTAACATTTTTTTAAACTTTTAAACGTTGTTCAAGTGAATTCCGTATTTTTTTCCCACAAAAAATTCCTTTTTTTATCACAGTACTGAGAGTTATTAGACAAAAAAAAACTAGATTCTAAAATTAATTCAACAAAACCTTTTTGTTTACAGAAGTAATTAAAAAATCTTTTTACAAACTTTTTTGAAACTTTTAAATTTGTTCATTTTTTTCCCCATAAAAAAATCATTTTTTATCACAGTACTGAAAGTTATTAGTAAAAAAAAACAACAACAACAAAAAAACAAAAAACAAACAAACAAGATTGAAAATGCAGTGCGTATAATTTTGTTGTTTTTTTCCATGTCAGAAGTTTGCCTTCGGGTCTCCCGATCGCCCTCCGATCTCTAAACGAAATATCACATTACGAACTCGGCTGTAAACAAGGGTATTATAGAACAGGGATAGAACAGGAGTGTCACTGAAACTTTTTAGAATTCTTTGATATTCGAGACCTTATGTCATTCCAAAACATTCATCTGTGTAAGAGCATGTATTAGGACATTGGTTTAGGTCATAAAGGTTGGTGTATCGAGCCAAATACTTCATTTTCACGGAGGAGTATTCCTAGATGAAGATTTTGTAGAGCGGGCCCACGACGCCAAACTGTCTGATTATGATACTGGGTATACTTGACCTTTAAATTACTATAATTAGAATAAGTCTATCCATATTTTTACTTTGTTTCACTATCAGAGTGAACGATTTGAGTCACGTCTGCATTGCCGTGCGATGTATTCCGTGTATACGCTTT